GAGCTGCGCCTCGTGTGGACAATGAAGGGCTATTACGAATTCTCAGTGAAGAACGAGAATAGCAATAATAATAGTTGTCTGAGTTTTGTTAGACACCACATTTCTTTCGCTAGGAAAATAAGATGAACAAATCTATGCTCCGAAGGCCAAACTATTTGGTGGCGCTTTAAGTCAGAATAAGACGGAAAAACGTGTGGAGCAACCATATCAATGTATGCACTGGCATGAAAATGTGAAAAAGATTAGCGAGAGATTCCACGTTACCATCCACCATCCGTTCACTTGCAGAAACCTTGCTTTAGAAGGATGGACGACTTCGTTTCCTGAAATGTATCGGATAGCCGCCATTGTGTAGGTAATTACCCAACAGCATCGCCTTGTAGCTATGAGCTAAAAAAGAGGGTGTCCAGTTACTGCACATGTCTTGAGCCGCGTAAAACGTGAGAACGATATGAGCACGGTGCCAGGAGGCCTTCGAAATTTTATATTTGGGGGGTGGTTCACATGTACCGGGCTCCCTGGAAGGCTTTTTAGGGAGTGCGGTTACTTAGGTGCAGAAGACGACGGTTTCCTAATTATTTCAGGTTCGTGGTCTTGAAATAGTGCGCTAGGCCTGTGAGGGACAGCTATGAGCGTAAAGCAGACCTATGATTTTTGAACGCAATTGTTTCTGTCGATCGCCTTATACAGTCTCAGTTTTGGAATGCAAAATCATGAAACCATATATTTGCACAAAGTGGCTGCGCCCTGTGTGATAAAGACCACGCTGTCAAAGGGGTTTTGCTGGGTTCCCTGATTTTCTGGGTAACGATGTTCTGCCGTTTCTTCGCCCTCGTCAAGTCATAGGGGCCCAGCAATAAGCCACGGAGTACTACTGTAAGCAGCCTATTTTAGCTGCCGGGAAATTTTCGCACAAAGTTCAGCAAAAATAGCCTGTAGATTGAAGTGGCGCAGGGGGGGTGAGACAGTGTATGCTGCAGAGAGTTAGAATATTAGAGAAATTCTTGGGGATTTGCCACTGCGAGGCATCTAAACAGTTGCTTTGAAATGGTAGTTGTTTCAGTAAAGGGGCCGGCTCAAATCTGGCAGAACCAGGCAGGTAAATGATCGTGCTTTGTGCCACCGGTTACATGACTGCAACATCCAACCGGCGCTAAGGCCTCAGAGTGGATGAACAAATTTTCGGAGGCTGATCTGTTATATCTGAGCGAGCGCAGAGAGTCACAGCTAAACGGTCCTATAAAAAGGGGATATTTATTATGATTTAGAAATCTCTCAGGTGCGTTTGCCTCAACCTCGTTCCCAACGTGGGCTGAAAGGAATTATCTATGATGACAGGTCGCCCCAGTAAGTGTGGTAAGGATTTCCGGTCCCAAAAACAGAATCGGGGCACCAAATTTTGACGCTATGTATTTTCCTTCCATTCTTATTGTCACTTATTCATCCGCAGGCGAAAACGCCAATTTAGGCAACAAGGTTCGAGATTTATATGTAGCGCCAAAAGAAGACATACTGCTTCACTGAGCGGCATTGAAGCACCCAACCAAGCCATGTAGTGCGCGAGAGGTTTAAAACGAAAATGAAAGTGACCAGCACCGTCGGTCCTCTTGCCAAATGTACCAGATTCTGGTATGCCTATACGAATTTTCATCGGCGCAAATATTATTTTATATCACTTTATTATACATGTAACTGCCTGTAAGATAATTTTATTCATGAACTAAAAAATAGTGCCAAAAGAGCAAATAGGGGTGAGTGTGTGGGTCTGAAATTAGCATTAAAAATGTGCACTGATGAAGACGTGTTGGAAACTCGCAGGTCAGCCGCCAAGTCTGAACACATTGCGGATAGTGTTCATCAACTTTATTTGTGCAAATCGGCCGCATGGCGGCTCATTTACGGTTCAGTAGCTATGATGCCCAGTTGAGTTTTGTATAAAGCTCTCAGAAATCCATGCAACAATGGAGTAACATTTCCTCAGTTATCCGCGTTTGTAAGCCTCGCCATCTTCCAGTGTCACAGCTGATTCATATGGCTTAGAAGACTGATTATACGAGGTGGATACTGCTGGCTTTGTTCCAAGGAGACCCACGAAGTTAAGGGGCCTTGTCTCCTCATTCGTGGAATAGGCTAGTTTGTTAACTTGAATCCTTTCAGTGTACTAGCTGCATCTTTGGGTGTTATGACATGCAGAGGAGTGTCCGCGGCAGGTAATCTTGCGGCGGTTAGATATTTGGTGGACTGTTGTGCAAGGCGCTCTGCAACGTATGGATAATACATTTAAGGCCTAATCGGAACCGAGTTCGTTACACTAGAATTAAGGAGGTTCCAGAGGCTAGGGTACCTTCCATGTACTTCTTTGAGTAAAATGAGAAACGGAGTGAATGTGTAGGCATAATATGAGAGTTTTTCTAGCAATTACTTAGACCACAGTTGAGTCAGACGAAAGTCCACAAAAGTGGAACCACTTAACTGGAGTTAAACCAGGAACAGAGTGGCAGTGAATACAATAACACAATAATCGATTTGTACCGGCCTCAAATTGTGGGATGACGCCGGATTTTATACAACGGATGTTAAACTGCTAATTCCTAGTGGATTCCAAGAGTCCACGCAGACCCAAGGCGAGGTTGCAACGAGACGTTGAAATCCGCGCTTTTATCTAGGCAGGACATGCAACGAATAGGCCAAAGGGGGATTACGTATAGATCAAAAACATGAATGGCGGTGTGGGCACGAAACTGAAACATCGGAACGGGAAAATATATAAGAAATAAAGAAAAAGCAACCCTCTGGCCTACATTATTTGCGTTCGCCAAAAATGGTACGTGATTCGTTGACTGGACTTTGCCGGGATATCCAGTCGCCTAAAAACGAAATTGTCCATCTGGCATTAATTAGTATCTTACCATTGGTGGAGTTGACTATTTGCGTTATCTTGGGAGGATCCAAGCCCGCGCATCCCGGATCCGGAAGCGTCCTACTTAAGTTACCGACACCGTTACTGTGCAGACAAGTATCATACCAGCAGAATTTGGAGGTGAGCTAAAAGTTCACCTGTGCCTGGCATCATGTAGCACACAGTCACCTCTACGCCGGACTTGGAGTTTCTATTCCAGCAAGCTCATTGGAATCGCTCTATTTCGAAGGCCGGATATCATGCACACAGATATTCTGGAATGTCGCACTACGAAGCCATCGGCTTTATTTCCTCATGCGAAAGTGGATGCTGTAACAACTAAACATTTATTTGGAAACTGCTATTTCGCGACAGTAGCCACGGCGAAAACTAGTCACAGGGGAGACGACTTCCACAGAGATCAGTGGTGAGTGTACCGGCTTCCTCCCAAATCCACTACGTTAAAAATTGTCCACTGGATTTATGTTATGTACGGAAGTGGGTATAATCAACGGCTATGCGCGACCTGAGGACCAGCGTGCAAATCCCCAGCTACGACACGAGCCCCACCACTCCTAGTGCAGAGAGACACGTGACCTTTAGAGGAGGACTTTTACTGCCTCAACCAAAGACAAAATACGACAGGAGCACTGTTGTATATATATGTATACATATATTGGATGACCTTGGGGAGCGATAAATCAGTTAGCGCGCACACAGCCTAACTGGCTGATAGGAATGTAGCGCGATTGAGGTGTAACGTGACAAAACGGGGCGAAATTAAAAAAATCACAAGTTTAGGAAAAATAATTTGGCATTAAATCGAAAAATGAATCCGCATCCCAACACCTCTCCTTGAGGAAAAAAATGGATGATTTGGCTTCGACGGCGATCTGTCCACGTTCTTGGGAGAAGGGCTGGTTCCCCGGCGTTCTGTGCTACCGTCAGTTGTGGTCGCCTTCATTTCAAAGGTGTCAAAAAGTATCTCAAGCGGACTGTCACTACTGAATGCTGTGGCTCATTAAGATGTCGCAGACGCAGTTGGTTCTTCTGTCCTTCATTTCATGTCAAAAAGTATCTCAAGCGGACTGTCACTACTGAATGCTGTGGCTCATTAAGATGTCGCAGACGCAGTTGGTTCTTCTGTCACGTCCAGAGGTCTTGGCCAACCGAAAGCTCTCTGGAGGACTTCGACGGGTGTTTCCCCTCCTCCGTATTTGAGTAGCGCCCGCTTGAACGTGTCGACCAAACGTTCTGCTTGACAGTTTGAACGTGGATGGTACAGTGGCGAACGGAAGTGTGTGCTGGCGTTCCTCATGCAAGACTATTAGAGGATGCCGGAGCTGAACTGTGATCCAATGTTGAACGCTAAAGTCTCTGGCAAGCCGTGCTGGCTGAAGAGGCCAGACAGGGCTCGTATGGTGTTCGTCGCCACTAGTTGGACGACGTCACAACCTCTGGTCACTTGAAGAAGGCGTTGACCAAGTCAGAGATATCGCGATTCATATGTAGATAGTAGGTGTAGCTGCGTGCAATTGATTTCATCCACTTTATTCCAGGATGATCCGAATGAAACTCCTTCGGGAGTCGATGGTGTAGAGAGCGAGGCACGTTCTCCAAACGAAAGAGTCGCCAAAGATGAATGAGGAATCCTGACGGTGGAAAATGTGTTTGAGGTCTTCGTCCAGGGGTTGGGTCGGTCAACGTGTCCTTAGAAAATACATCGTTTGTTGCAGAGTCGGATAAACCAAAGTTTTACACTGGATATCCGTAACAATCACTGGTAAGGCACGGATTGTTTGGAGCAACTGCAGGCTGGCCGCAATGACAGAGTCTTCTTCTGAGGCAGTATGATTGCCGACAAGTCGCCAGAGTGCATCTGCTTGGCCGAAATTTTCCGTGCATCGATACTGGATTTCGAAGTCATGGCCTAGCAAGATGGGCGCCCACCGTTGCGGGCGATTCGCAGAATAAGCGTGTATGCCGGATTTCGAGCTAGAGTTCGACACCAATGGCTTTTGGTCGGTCAGGAGTGTGAATCGCCGGCCGTAAATGAACCTGTGGAATCAACCTGTCGCAAATACAAGCCCCAAAGCCTCACTCTTAACTTGGCCGTATTTTTGTTCCTCTGGGGTAAGCGACCTGGATGAACGCATGATCACCTTCTCAGTTTCGTTAGGAAAAACGTGAAAGATGACAGCGCCGACACCGTAAGTGGAAGCACCGGCTGCCACGACTATCGGCAGCTTGGGATCATACTGCATCAAAAGCATTTTAGAGATGAGCATATACCTGAGTTTGCAGAAGGTTGTTTCACATTCTTCCGACCAACCCAAAGGCACGTCCTTTTTCGGTAGGTGACTGGGCGGCCGCTGGACACTGCGCAGCGCAAGCGGAAATGCTTATTAGTAACTGGTGAGGCCCAAGAAGGAACAGGGGGTGGTAACCTCCTTGATTGCCGGCATCTGTTGAATAGGTGGTATTTTCTCATGGTCAGGGTGTCTACTGGATGCACCGAAGACGAACCCGGGATTCCTAACGGCCGTCACGAAGAGCTGACCCGTTTCAGGACGTAGGCGATTATCATTGTCCCGGATGCGCTGAAGCACCGTGTTGATTCACGTGCGTAGTTCAGGGCGAAAGCCAGCGAAAATCAGGACCTCATCCAAGTACGCGGCCACACCTGAAACACCCGAGCGGATAGTATCTATCGACTTCTGGAAGATCGCAGGGGCCGCCCTGACTCAAAATGGTAAACGTTTGTATCCACACAGACGCCGGTGCGTGTTTATGGCCAACAGAGATCAGGAGTCCGAGGCAACTTCAATCTGCAAATATGCATCGGTCAGGTCAAGTTTGGCGAAACAACTGCCGCCGTTCATAATAGTGAATAAATCATCGGGCACCGGCATTGGGTATTGGTACTGTTCAAGGGCTGCATTCAGGCCTGTTGAGAAATCGGCACGAATGCGGACTGACTTATTAGGCCCCTTCAGTTCGATGATTATTGCTGCCCAATTGGAGTAAGGTACTGGAGATAGGACGTATCGTCGAGCAAAAACCTGAAGTTCTGCATCAAACTGCGGCAAGGAAGCCTACAGGACTGGCTTCTTGGGGCGAACTACTGAGATAGTATCCAGTCGAAGTTGGAGAGTTGCCCCTTTGGTGGAACGACAACGAAGACCAGGCTCGAAAACCCTAGCGAAGCGCCGAATGATATCACCGGATCGATCTGGGGCAGCAAATCGGGAACTGACCACATTGCAGATGGAACTTATTGGGACACCTGCCAAACCAAGACGGTTGAAAGAGGCAAGGTTTTTCTGATTTCTTCAAGAAAACTCAGTTCGGCAGCTGCCAAGTAACATGACCAAGTGAATGTCGTTCCCTTGAATGAGATACAGCACTGCTATTCCCCGGAATGCCGCAGCACACCATCACAGATACTGATGGCAGTTCTGGATGAGCGCCCGACAGGAGGTCGTCCCAGCGTGCTCCAAAGCATATGTGATATAATGGTGATGTCCGACGCAGTGTCCATCTGCAGTCCTACCGGACGTTTATTGACCAGAACAGCGAGGAATTTCTGGTGAGATGGGGCACCAACTTAAAGCGTTGCACGCAGACTAAAGGCGGAGCCCACCAACTTGGAATTCTGGAGGTGTGGTTGCTGCTTTGAGGCTCCGTGGGATATACTGGATGAGTGTCCCTGATAGTATCTGTATTGTGACCCACGGTCTTGCATTTTCGGCACCAATGTTGTTTGTAAGGGTACAGTCTGACGATGTGCCAGGCGCCGCAGTGCCATCACGAGAATGAGGGCCTCTTCTTTTGGGCATTCTACTGACTGGATTGAGTAGTTCTAGAAAGCGACGGACTAGAGAAGGACGAGCCAGAGATATGAGAACCATGGACTGTGTAGGCTTGGTGAACCGCATGAACTTCGGAACCACCTTGGCCCCCATATCGGACCAGTGTCATGCTGTAGGTTGATAAGCCACTGGTACTCGTCAACAATGACTTACAGCGTCAGCGAAGGGTCTTGCTCAAGTCGGTTGAGCAGACGCGTTCGAATGTCTGCGAATTTGGGAGACTGGAGGCTGTGTATGGAAATGATGGATTTGAATTTATCTGTTGTGAGTGACTTCAATTTGAGACGTTTGCATTCACGAATAACAATGTCAGTGTGCGTCAAAAAGTCGTCTGACTTGTTAATAACTAACTTCAAACAGCGGTACCGCGCACTGAACATTGATTGGACATGGTACTACAAGCGGGAACTCGGCTGCGTAAGTATTTCGATAAGCCCACGCTGTCGCTCTAGCAGTGCCTCTACTTTCGCGGGACCCATTACGAGCGGACAGAAACAATTCGTCGCCAAAAGTTATGTACGGAGGCGGGTACGATCAACGGCTATACGCGACCTGAGAACGAGTGTACGAATCATCAGCTATGACACGTGTCCCACCACTCCTAGTGCAGAGCGACACCGAACCTTCAGAGAAGGGCTATTACTACCTCAACCAAAACCAAATTACGACAGGAGCACTGTTGTATATATATGTATACATATATTGGATGACCTTGGGGAGCGATAAATCAGTTAGCGCACACAAAGTCCATCTGGCCAACAGGAGAGGAGTGTGGTCCTTTTGGATTGAAGTGCAACAACAAAATTCTAGAAAAATAATTTGACAATAACTCGAAAAATAAACGGTTCTTGGAGATATCGTCATCCACATCAGTATAGCTTCTGCTAGCTGTGCAGGCTGAAGATTTTAAGCGTGCTACCCTGGTTTCCCTATTAATAAATTGGTGGTTGAGATCGAATCCTTACTGAAGGGCCCATTGGAGAACACCATGACTCTAGATACATAAGTGAAGTAGAACTGCTGCCCGCGGGCCTCTAAACGATAAAGCTGAAGCAAAGTGTCTCGACTACTGCTTGTCGAGTTCTGAGTTACCTCTTCCCTCGCCCATGCCTTTCAGCAGTAAAGCATATTTTGCCAGCATTCACGCTGCATATCTGCAAAATTACCGTTCGTATCAGTTGAGCACTGCGCAAACTCTTCTATCGTTTCTCTGCTACCGCGTTATCTCAAGCCATCGTTTTTGAAAAACTCCATTTACTCAAACACAGCAGACAAAACGACAAGCAGTATCTTAGGAAAATGAGGTGATCAACACGTTTTGGAAATAGCACAGTAGAGATCTGAACTCATAAACTCGACCGGCTTTATACCAAATACATGACATTAAACGGTTACATTATACTGGATGGGGTATGTTGGGCTCGTGCAAGAAACAGAACTATCACTGTTAATCTACGATGGATTTGTCCACGCCCCACTTCGAGTGCTTGGTTAGGCTCGAATTCCTGACGCCAGTGAACTAAACGGAGAAACTGCAAATACTGATCATGTAAAGGCTTAAAAACTCACATCAAATGATAGACGAACACTGGCTGATGTGCTCTAATATTTCATCGCCTAAACAATGATTTCAATTATTATTAAGAGGCTAAAAGTAGCTCACACAAAAGGGCACCTCCCCCGGAACTACATATCGCCAGGCAATTCTAGGAAAAAGGCTTGAGGTAGCTCAATGACGAGCTAAACATGCATTGTGAGCGAGATTGATTATTTGAATTAGTTTCATGTGGCAGTGGTGTTAGCGACCTTGGTCACTGAGTTTGAAACGAAACAACATTTTTCCAACAACCACCTTACGCCTCTATCTTTAACCGGGTTTCCTCGCATGCAGACCCCTTGTTCAATTAAGTCTTTAGCTCAAGCATCTACCACATTGCTTTTTATACTTTGTAAAAGACCCTCAAATGTTTTTTGACTGATAGCACGGAGCACCCAACGGATGCGTTTTCACAGACAGGTTGCAATCATCCATCACAGGCAGGACCATGATAGAACGGACGCCGATCAGTCCCCGGATATTCAGTCAGTACATCATTATGTTTTAAACTATCCGTCCAATTTCTTCCTGTTTCATTCTGTAGAAGATGAAATGGAACTGCAGATGGCTAAAATGAAGATAAAAAGCTCAAAGCATGATGAAAATGAGTGAAACTAAAAGGGTAGAGAGAATGCGCATGTCTTTAATTATTGTTGTGTAGCAGTAAAATTCAACATTCTTGGGTGAAGAATGTCACCGAGCGCTCCGTGATTCAAAAGACGCTCAAGCCGTCACTCACACTGAGGAGGCATCATAGAGGGTTTCCTGTTCGGCACAGCTAGAACTGTGGACCACGATCAGAATTAGTTGACCGTACTCAATATTCTTCAGGAGGTAAATTTGAATTGATGAACTCATCACTCGAGCCCAAATTAACTTTTGCCAACCCATGGCACATTATGCTTTTTCTGCTTAATTTTTCATTACAAATGTTCCTTCTTTTCTACCAGTTGTAAAAATTCAGTGAAAAGATACTCCTTCATATGCCGCTACAACACTTTCAGGCTTTCCGTGCGGACTCGCCAGCTGCAAAAGCATAGCTTATGGTCGTTTTTGCTGTGTACTGGAAAAAGCTAAAATAAATGACTCGTATGAACAACAGCACAAATTTTATCGGTGCTGTACCTCCGATTCTAGCATATGGTTTCCACCATGGGGCTAGGGATGGCCCAAACATAACCGTAAAGCGCCCTGAAATCTCGGAAACCTCTAATTACCGTAAAAAGGTAATATATGTGCCACGAGCACCACTTGAAATTGGGAGTCTCTCAATATGAATGGCGTCAATCTGGATGACAGGTGAATCAGGAGGACTTTTGCTGACGGCCACCAAAAAATTCTGCAATAAACTTTAGCAGTTGGACGGATTGATTCTTGCTGATTTCATTGGTTCTACAAAAAAGTTTACAACCTTCAAACGCTGTGATTATAGGGGAATCCTGAGCCCAAATGACACGGGTGGCTCAAATGAGGGAGAAATTTTATCTATAGGGTAAAAGGTTTGTTCCCGTTGTACCCTCCAGGGTTTTCAATATAAACTGTGCAAATGTTAGGAATAGAGAGATATCGTAAAGCTTCAGTAATATTCCAATTTTCTGTTCACAAGCAATGTGGCTTTTGAGAGAGTTGTCCAGAGGGGAATTATGAAAACAAATATTTGGTTCACAAGGTTTCGAAACAGATGTTGATCGTGGCGAAAATTGCCCTGTTATAAAGGGAACTATATGATATCAGAAGAAGTGAGTTGGCAAAAAATATGGTGGATTTTGACTGAAGACCATTGAAGATGTTGGCATAGGTCAGA